GTTTGGTTAAATGATCAGGTAGATACAAGGGTAAATAAAAGCGAGTAGGATGAAAATCTCGGAAACGGTATTTTCCCGGCTAGCAATCAGAGTAGCAACCACCAACTGAGCGAACCCCTCGTTGGTGGTACCAACTATCTTTCTATCTTCCTCTCTCTCTCTCTCTCTTTTACTTTCACATTCTCTTCTATCTCTTCTCGGTTTTATCCAGCCAGGAAATTCTACGCTCCAGCCAATAAAAGCTCTGTCTCTCCCAATCCACCCCCCCCACACCCACCCTTCCCCCACCCTATTGTCATCGTCGATATATACGTTTATCTATCTCTCTCTTTTTTCTGATTCCCGTAATACCTCTCTCTCTTTCTATCTTTCTTTTTCTATCTCTTTTTTTATATCGTGCGTAGACTCGAACCATCTCGTCGGCCTAATAAATCCGACAGATAGGATTGGCGTGCGCTATCAATTAAAAACGAAGCCGAACGAGGTGCGTTCTCTCGTTTTGAGACTTATTCATAAAAGAAAGAAAAAGAAAAAGAAAAAAGAAAAAAAAAATAAGAAGAAGATTCCATCGGGTTGTCTGTTCTTCTCTAATAGGATTATGCGATTAGGTTTACCTTAGGGGCAACCCCTCTCGGCCCACCCCCCCTTCATCTTCAGCTTTCTCATCTTTTTTTTTTTTCCTTATTCTTGATACGATTCCTTTGGTATGATGAAAAATGTAGAAGAGAAAAAAGTAGAAAGTTATAAGAATGAAGAAAATAAATAAAACGAAAGGGAGAAATAGAGAGAAAGAAGGGGAGGTAGGGGGGAGGGAGGGGCCGGGGGAGTAGTAGTAGTATTTTTTATCATTTTTATTCTTCTTTCCCTTTCCATCTGTCTTTCGAATTGGAAAAAAATGGTGTGTGGTTTGAATGGAAAGAGAGAACGGGCCGGTAGTCGGTGGGTTTTAAACGTAATTTAAATTTTTAATTGCGACTCTCTAGTCGGAGAACGACGCCTCCGTCGTCCTTTGCCTTTTAACCGAGAAACAAAAAGAATGAGCGAGCCAATGAGTGAGAGAATGAAAGAGGAGGCAGAGAGAGAGAGAGAGAAAGAACGACCTTTCCTCTCGTTTGATGCTACTGTTTTTTTTAGAGGGAAAAAGAGAATGAGACAGAGTACGCAGAATCGTTCTTAAACGTTCTCCCGTTAAGCTTTCCACTCTCTTTTCTCAATTCCGCGAGGCGGAAGGAAGTGGGATGAGAGGGGGTTGGGGGTGGGGTGGGGAAGGTGAGGATAGGGGGTGGTGAAGTTAATTAAAACGCGTTGTTTTATCCGATCTCGCGAGATACGAAACGCTTGCTTGGAAATTGGCTTGCTTTGAGTAACGAGATAATCTCACAGAATTATTTGGTACTGTATCGAGACATTATCATTATCTATATAGTTTTTTAATATAATCATTCATCGGTATTCTTAAATTTTTATCCATTTTTTATTCATTATTAAAAATGTTATTTCGTATATTGAATGAGAGTAATAAGTAAAAATTGTATAATTCATGAAATAACAATACACGACGGGTTAAATTAAATTACATAATAATTAGTAATATCTATAATAATATCGTATGTTTATTAACTTTATTGTTCATCATTTTACGCGTACACGTGTAGATATTTTTTTTTTGTTTTTGTTTTTTGTTTACTACAATCAAAAGGCCAGGATTTTAGTTTGAAAACGTTCGAATGTTTTAATCGTCCGGAACACGCAGAAGGGCAAATTTTTAATAAACAGTTTCAACGTACATAATATGACCAGCGCATAACATTTGATCACGATTCGCGAAGCGGTAAAAAATACGCTTGCGTGATTCGCTATATTTTCTGCAAAAGAGAGAGAGAGTGAGAGAGAGAGAGAGAGATACCTACATAATCCCTACCCTTCGATCGTGATCGGCCTGCCATCATTTTCCGCGCAACCGAGTAAGCTTCTTTTTATGGTGTTTTATCGTGTTTTTATTTTTATTCTTGTTTTTTTTTTCTTTCTATTTTTCTTTTTCAACTTTCTTTCTCATTTCATACAAGCTCGTAGAGTTTTATTCGCGATAAACGACGATTTGGATATATTAAAACGGAAAAAAAAAAAAAAAGAAAAAAGAGAAATGGAAAATAAGAAAACGAAAACGTTCGAGATCGAAATCGAAAAGTCGGTTCGTAATAGATCTAACTATTAAAATCGCGTGTACACTTTTATGATAGAATATTATTCACGCATGCATCGTGCACATGTATATTCGTTGAAAAATTATTCTAGCAAAAGAAGGAATAATGTATATCTATTATTGGTCAAATGCAAACACGCTAATGGATCGTCTATTAAACTATTCAACTATTATGAACAAGAAATGTACGTTCGCAAGATAATAATGTTTAATAATCTTTCTATAGATTTTCTATTATATCAAGTGGAAACGATAACCTCGAAAGAATGAAGAATTTCAAACGATTATTATTATTATTATTATTATTATCGTTACCATTTGGTACATACACATATATATATATATATATATATATATATAAAATACATAATATCATTTTTATTATCGAATAATATTGTGTGTGCATTGTCTGTCTCTCTCTTTCTATTTTCAGTTATCAAGATTTTAATTGAAATAATTGCTAATAGGTTGATACGTAGCAACGATTGTAACCCATGTCCGGCAATGCTGATGAATATCAAAGTAAAAATATATTTCGCATTGTTAAACGTTATATAAAAAAACATACGCCTGTGTATGTTTGTATATATATTTGTGTGTGTCGTATGTGGGCGAGATCGGAGCACGAGCAATTACTTCGTCGAAACTGCATCATTTATCGCGATGATTTGTTAATCGTCGAAGTTACGGTCGCATACAGTTTCGGAACGAACTCGTAATCGATTGGGTCGAAACAATAAATTTCATTTTATTACATCGGACGAATGAAAACGTTTAAATCATTCACCTCTTTTATATCCATTTACGATACTTATATTATTTATATTTACGTATATATATACTACATTAAATTTTTCTTTTAATATTAAAAATCATCATATATCCTTGCTAATACTTTCGTTTATTAATTCATACGTTTTGTTACGAACAATGTTTCAAAATTAATTTATATTTATATATCTATTCTTTTGTTATAGCTCGTTTATATTCAAATTAATTGAAATATTATTTAAAATGTAATATTTATTCTTTTAAAAAAATATCAATTATTATTTTGGTTTGAAGAAAAATGTTAGAATAGTCATTACTTTATTCTACAATTATTTTTCATTTCTATACAAACTCTCTCTTATATCCCATCTTATTTATATTAATAGAACGTCGTATATAATTTCAGTGTCAAAATAAAAAATCGAAGATCGATTAATCGAAAAGAAAGAAAAAAAAAAAATCGTGAACGTTACTACATTAAAATGTGATTGTGAATATTAAAAAATCACCGTCGTCGGTAATATTATTTCTAATATATTTTCCAACAAGTACTTATATAATTCACATCATAATAAAAATAATCCTTTTAAAAAAGAAAAAGTTATTTTCTAATTTTACGAACATACACTTTTTTCCCCCTCCGTATATTATTTTTCATATATTTAAAATATTATTAATTATATATTAATTAAAAAAAAAAACATCGTATATTCCGATATACGAATAATGGAATTATTAACGATTAATTAACTCGAAGAATAAATTCGATTGATTAGAAAGAAAAGAAAAAAAAAACACATAAAGAAGAATAAATCAATCTTAAAAGAATAATAATAAAAAAACAGGTGTCGATGAGAATAGGAGGAAAGAAAGGAAAGTAAAAAAAGAAAGTAAAGAAAGAAAGAAAGGAAGAAGTGTGCAGGTTTACTATACTTATAGATAAGTAGTAGAGTTTGGCAGGAGTATGGGGAAAGCGTGCCCCTGGGAGAGAGAGAAACCTAATCGATGCGTCGTCGCATGCGACTGCGTGCTTTTATCGCTGTCACGCACATAATTAATTTAATTTAGTTTAATACGCCGGGCGGTGAGCGTCGGCCCGTTGGGCGGCGATTGCCGTTCCGATTGTTTGCACGGAAACGCTGCCATTAAACCCGCTGCTGTGTTGTTGGCTAGCAGGCACGACTAGTTCCTATCACGTCGAATTCCAAAGTGGAACGATAAATCCTATCGTTAATATCGATCCTACAATATATATGTATATATGTACGTTTCTATTTCTATCTCTTTTCCTTTTCCTTATTGTTTCTTTCTTTTATTTCTCTATTTTACCATTTTATCACTAAAATGTTTTATAATAATAATTATTTGGATTTTTTTTTAATTGGTTTTACATAATTCCAATTAATTTTGTTACTGTTTTTAATCTGATTTGTTTAGAAACTTTTCTATGATATCGATGATTAATTATTTTTCTAGGAAGTATTATTACTGTATTATAATTTTAACATTTTCTTTTTAATCTTTTTTTTGACGCAATATTAATTATCGAAATTAATTTGCGTTTACGATAATATTATTTTGGTTTTTAAGTTAAAAATTAATCCTCGCTCTCTTACCTTGAGAATAATTATAATATTTTATCGTTTTGACGTGATATTAATTATTCGCTATCATATCGTAGGATTAATTTGCGTTGAGGTAATAATACAAAGTATTAGAAAAATTGTCATTATTAAGTTAATAATATGTTAGAAAATAAATGAATCTTCGTTATTCATTTAGTATAGATTTAAGCAAATTTACTTTTATATGTGAAGGATTAATAAAAATAATTTAATAATTAATCAAATATTTCGCGAATTTTTCCAAATCTAAATTATCAATTATTTTGATATTAAATTATACGATTGATACGAAAGATTGTTGTTTCACTTTGCAATTCGATAGGATATGAAAAAAAGAAACGAAAAAAGAACAAATGCTAAATACGATGAATAAAATAGAAAAAAGTAAATTAGATGCTTACCTGGACACGAACTTCGGGAAGGTTGACCTTCATGGCAAGTTCTTCCCTGGAGTAGACGTCAGGGTAATGTGATTTTTCAAATGCTCTCTCAAGTTCGTGCAGCTGGTAAGTGGTGAAGGTCGTTCTGTTACGACGATGCTTCTTCTTTCCTCCGTTCCCGTTAATATCGTCCCCGCAACCCGCACCAAGTTCTTCGTCGCTACCACCGCCGGTTGAGTTGCAGCTGTTCTCACCTGGAAACCCAAACACCAAGTTGGGAGCCGGTCAGAAATGCTAGGGACCTTCGAGGAAACGCTCGTTACAGCTAATGGGGTTGGTAATGGTCATCGATTTATCCAACGGCAACCAAGCTATTACCTCTATTATGCGAACATGATAATGGTAGTTACGATCACTATGACTGTTACTTATCCAACATTTCCAACTAAATTCTAAGCTATAAACTTTGTATTTTTATTTCTCATACTTTGTTACTTTTAAGTTAAATTATATACCATTTTATTTTATCGTGATCATCGAGGGTGTAATAAAAAAAACAACATTAGAAATATATCTTTTATTAACTTGTTTCTAAATAGGGAAACATAAATATTGGGGATGGATCTGAAATTTGTTAATTTTTATTTTATCTTGCATTTATTCGAGAATAGAAATTTTATACAATTTTATATAAATATTTTTATAAGTTAATAAATTATTTTTTCATTATTTGATACCTATGCTTAATTTTATAAATGATTTACCGTGATCGATTATAGCTAACAAAAAATAGAATTATCATAGACATAAGTATCGAATATATCAAAACAGGTTTATCCAACGATTTCGAATAATTTCTATTTGACTCGACAGCGCATTTTGTTCTCGCGATAAAAAATATTATCCGATCTAATAAATCATAATGATTGATTAAAGATAATAAAAAAAAAAAAAAAGAAGTAATTTATAGATATATTTATTAGTTAATTTCGCTAATCACACGAATTAAAGCGCGCGAATTATCAAAGTTTACATTAATAAACTGGGAAAGGTAAAAAACGGTAATATCGTTTTTTACCATGAGTTGAAGACCACTGTATAAAGTGTACGATAGCACGTATGTTCATATACCGGGTGCCACGTGAGAAATCAAGTGGCACGATGGTAACATTTGTAAAATTTTATATCGTGCTGTACGTTGGGTCAATGCTGCTTATCTACCGTTTTACTAAAGCAACCGACTAACAACCTCTATCTCTCTCTTTCTTTTATTTTCTTTTTTTCTCTCTTTCTCTCTCTTTCTCTCTCTGTCTCTCTCTCTCTCTCGTTTACTCGCGAACTACGCTGTGTAATCGTTAAATGAGCAAAGAGAACCGCAAGATTTACTACTTTCGAACGCGCACGCGACCATTTTATTTGCAAATTACTCTCCCCGTGTTTCTAATATACAAAAGCAACATTTTATATGTCCGTACAAAGTAAATAATAAATTTCGAATAATCTTCGAAAAGTTAGAATTCATTTGTGAGTTTAAAATCCATTCGAATGATATGTTCTTTATCATATTATAATTATATCAAATTGTTTAAGAATAAGTTATTATTAATAATTTACGTGTGTGTGTGAGTAAAGAATAGAATAATTAAAAAGAATTTCTTTTTGGAACGTGGTGTTGTTAATGTAACGTATGTTTAATAGGAATATTAACGCAAGACTGAATTTTGTACCATGTTTTACCTATGTTCACTTATCCCCAAGAACGTTTGGATTCTATCTTTCTTCATGTGATTGATATCGTCTTATTTTTTGAAACTCTTACTATCGTTTTTTGAATCAGGAAATAAAAAATGTTACAATAAAAATATTAAGCCATAAAATTAGTAAGAGTTTATATAAATCAAAGTAAATATATTAAAAATATAATATTACAAGAATTCAAATATATATTCACACGAAAAGGAAACAAATGATTTTTCTATTAAAATTAAAATGATTAATATCAAATCGTCGAGGGTTGATAAAAATTCCAAATAATTCGTTTCCCACTATCCCTTTAATTTCGATTTAATGTATTATGTTTCTTTTTTTCCTTATTATATAGAAAGATATTCCTAAAAATAACGAAGCTAATAATATTAATAATAATAATTTATTGCAAAAGTCAGTAGTTGTAAGCTGTCAGTAACATAATAATCTTCCGTGGACAGTCATGCACACCCTGGGGTATATATATTCAAGCTCTCATTAACTGCATAATTAACCTTCTCTCGCATCGAAGAGCAGCGCATTAGATCGAATTGTGGGGGGTAATCGGGTGGCTCAATGGCGGCTCGGCCCTAAGCGTCGGCCCTACGCCCTCTGCTCTCCTCCTCTCTTCTCTTGCCATTCTCTTCCTCTCCTCTCTGCTAACGTCTACTACTCACGGGCCTGGCTTGTGTCCGTGGAGCTAATAACCTTGCCTTGCTTCGTGATTGACGCGCCTATACCGGCTAATTATCAACAACAATCAATAATGGCCCCCGTGAGTTTCAACGCCACCGAGACTACTCCCTTTACCACCCCTTTCTTGATCCACTTCCCTTCTATATTCCCTTACTCCTTCCTTTAACATCTTTACCGTTTCTTACTAATGGGATAGAATATGATTTTACTCTTAGAAATTCATTTATCTAGATAATTAAATAAACATATTTTATCATACTATAATATTATTCATTATTTTATATATGTAAGGATTTTAAATGATTTTAATTAATATTTTTAAAATAAATCAAATTCGTTATATGAACATTAGATTTTTATTATATATATATATATAAATTAGATTTTTTAATATGTTTCTATTTAGTATTATAAAGTAAAGAAAGATTGTTGATATAAGATTATAGTAGAAATGTATTAATAAAGCTTATTAAAATATTCCTTGTTTGCTACGTAGTGTCTTAAATATTTGTTTAATCAACATACGACTTGAAAAAAATAATATTACACATTTTTTCTTTATTTAATTATTAAATCGACTAATGAATCTCACGTTGATGTTTGCATATAACAATTTGGAAATTTTGAAAATTGATGAAAGATCGAAGGTCAAGTGGTGAAAGTAGAATTCTGTAGTTTTGAGTCTATAGAGGGTTGTTTCTACAGGGGAATATAAATACATATATACAATATATATATATAGATACATGGTAAAGCGAAATATACGGGCGTGTACAGCGTGCTGGGATACGTCTGCGCAATAATTGGTTTCGGTGGGACAGAGTAACCATCATCGTGATTAAATTCTACCAGGCAGGCGCAGAATGTCGGCGTGACGACGCGTTCACCGCTAGATTCTGTCTCTCTCTTTCTGTTTAACACGTTCCCATTCTCTCTTATTCTCTCTCTCTCTCTCTCTCTCTCGGCTTTTCTCTTCCTCATCTAAATCGTCTTCTCGCAAGACGAATTGCGAATTAAACTTCGTGATTTCGGATCTCCTGACCTCGAGTAGTTCGAGCTACTCCTAATTTACACACTTTATAAATGCCAATTAAGAAACTGATTTAAGACAGGTAAAAAAAAAGAAAAGGAAACATCGTATTGTATGCACAAACATATAAATTATTTGTTTTTTTTTTTTTATAATAAACAAAATATTTGTATTTTAATTATTGTGATAATTAAGTAAAAACAATAGTTGTCTTAAAGATTTGTTAATCAACATAAGACTTTAAAAATACACGGTAAAAACATAAAACGTACCCGGAAGTAGCAATAAAAAGCTATAACAGGACGTAATCCTAATAAAAAGAAGATGAAGTTATGATAATAATAAATTATTGAACAATGTTTTAGGTAATATTAAAATATCATTTGTTTTGGATAATATTTTCATTGTTAATGAATCTTTTAATGAAAATACAATAAGGAATATTAATCGAGAAATTTCGGATATTAAAGATTTAATTTTTCGATATTAAATATTGAAATTATTCAATATATACGTTGAAATATATAAATTGAAAGAAAAAAGAAATAATTAAAATTATGTCAGATAAAAAAAAAAGTGTCGGTCATTGTCTGTATTACTAGGAGAAAAAAGATAATAATCGCGGATAGTAGGTGTGAGTTTAAAAATTAAAATGTGTGAGTACAGGAGAGAGAAAGAGAGAGAGAGAGAAAGAGAAAGAAAAGAGTGTTCTATCACGTTTTAGCTACTTAAGAGATTGACACGAAAAGATATAGTATAATGGACGAAGTGGTTTCGACCTGTGCTTTCTCCTGCCCGACTCCTAGTGACTCTAATGGGCCAACACTGATCGCTGATAAATTTTAAAACGCCTAGGGGGCCCTTTTGATTCTTCTTCAGCTGCTTAATCGAGTTAAGGTGCCGATTAAGAAACAGCCTGCCGTCACGTTAACGTTCAGGATCCTACTACATATAGTTTAGTCATTGTCCTACCGTAAATCTTTCGATTAGTTTACTCAAAGATCTAACTAATTCTTTCTAATCGTTCCCAAATCAATATCTTTGAAAACAAATTGATAAAGGAAATTATTTTTGTTGTTTTATTTCTCTTAATTAAATTATTGAAAATATCTTAAAATATGAAATAAAAACACGATGAATCCAACTAATTCGATTAACCACCTTTTTAATCATTTTAACTAAAATATATCACGATCATCGAGTTAGGGGAAGAAAAACAAGTTTTATTTCAATTTTACGATGATGCTTCTCGTTAAGAGGAAGATTTAAAATTGATGTGTAATTTTTGTACAAAAAAGAAAAAAACAAGATAAAAAAGGCAAAGAAATAATCTTTTTTTCAAGTGAATATTGAAGGTGATGAAAAGATTGGAAAGAGTGTAACTAAACGTTTTCTTGGTTTCTTGTCAAGCAAGTAGATATTGCTAGGATCCAAGGTAGTAGGTAGGTATATCCTATAATCCGTCGGCGTTCGCCGTATTTGCGAGCAAAACGTCACGCGCGATAATTAATGCTAAACGGATTAACTTCCTCGAATGCGAGCTCTCTCGTATTAATCCGATTATAATGGACTGACGTTAACTGTGAAAGGTTTATTACTCTTTATGCTAAAAGAAGTCACCTATTCTATTATAGTTTGACACTACCACCATTTTCCTATTGAAATTCGGTCACCGATGTATTCAATTCGAAATATTTTGATTCGTATTCAACGCATTGATAAATATATACAATATGTAAATCGATATTCTATGTTACACGAAGATGAAAAACAATTAAAAGT